ACAAGCACCCCATGTGGGCCAAGTAACAAGCTTTGCTGATAACAACATTGTTTGCAATATCTGTCTGTGGTGGAAGTCTGTTTCTAATGAGGTGTGCTTTTCTTGAAACCAAGTCTGGAAGCAGAGCCTTTTAATATGGGGCACATTTGGTGGAAGACATTTTATTACATAATAATAATATCACCTGGGACACACTACAGGGACAAAATATTTGAGGAAGATACACCATGAGTGTGATACTGAGCACATCCAAGTCTTACATACCATCCAAACTGCTCAGAGCTGTAAAAGAGAAGACTCCTTACACAACACCTCTGTAATGTCTTAATTGTCTATAATTGATAAAATGCTGTTTCTATCAAGCATGGTAGTTACGCTGGCTCCAGCTCATTTCTATGCAGATTCATCACAATTAGAGTACCATGAAATGTCATTTAGAGCTGGTCATGAATGGCTAATGACATATAATTTTACACAGCAGCAAAATGCAGGTTTACATACTTCCATTCAACTCCGGCCCACACGAACACCCAGGAGTCAGTGCTAGGGAATTAGCAGGCATTTTTATTTTTACAGCTGGCATCTACAATACACAAGCTGAAAAAGAAAACTGACCCAGGCTGCACTTTTTATTTACTCAGGCAGAGTAAATAACAGAGTCTTGACAAAGTTTTCAGGCAGGGATTCTGCTAGCTGCAAAGCCACTTACTTTATTAAATGTGCTTCATGATTACTCCTTTCTATCATCAACTCCCCATCCAATACTTAAAATGAACGCATACCAATAACAAATGGAACCAGTGATATTAACACCAGAAGAAACTATATTCAAGATAGCTCCTGCAAATAAAAGTGTGTCCTGCCATTAGGCTCTCAGGGGACATAATCTCTCTAGTGCTGTCCAAACAAAACAATGGTCAGCTCATATTTGAATACAGTTTAGTTTCAATAATTAATTCAAGTGTTTAAATAGCTAGAGAGGGAAGACACTAGCCAAAAAAAAGTCCCCAAGCCAGTGACCTAGCCAAAATCAGTTAATAAATCAGCCGCCTAGAGTGGTCATAACTGACCAGATAGGTGGGATATAAATTAAATTAAATTAAATTAAACAAACAAACAAATAAATAAATAAATAAATAACTGGTACACCTGGGGAGACTTACATTCATTGTTTCAAACAGTCCTGAATAATTAAAAACACTCTGCTGAAAATATCTGCAAGGCTATGATAGATGAAGTGAAAAAGTTCCTCGCTGCATACACACTTTATCTACCATTATATGCATGTATGGTCACTAACACTATCCTGAGAGTAGGAAATAAGAAAGCCTCCATTAGCCACAGAAAGTATTCACCACTCTCAAGGGCAGTCCTGACAAGATTCCACAGCCAGGAGGGGTCAGAGGTGACAGGCCACAGTCCTCCAAGTCGTTTATCCACTTCCTTGGGTTGCACCATCTTTATCTCTCTGATCTTCCCAATACCAAGTGCAGGAACTCCCACCAACTGCTGCTGAGGGTACCTAACCGGTAGACTTCGTCCAGTCCTCCACCCTTGAAAGTACAATTTGATCTATATTCTACTGGACAAATACAAGAAGCTTTTCCTCTATATTCTACCCAGGTCTTTGTCATACAGTCCAAGGCTGTATGATCTCTTCCTGCATCAAATCAAAAGTGGTACGGATTTTGTTCATGAACTGATTTACTAGCAGCGCCTTCAGACTAGAGAAAATTAAGGCACCAATTTGCCATGATTGGAGGGGGTCTAGAAGTGAAATGGAGCAGAGGTGTCTAATTTGACTTCTTCTTGGCAACTCCATCTCCCACCACCACCAAGTCCTCACATGAGGAGTGTGGGCCCACAGAGTGCTGCCTCACTAGGACTGACAAAAATGCAAACAAGAACTGAAGAGCCAGAAGTGTGATACATAATGACTGAGATCCTGTTGCACAACTGTGATTGCATCATCAGCTGTGGCCATTTGATGGAATTAAAACCTTCTCTTCCCCCCCCCCCTCTGGTTGTAATTATCTCCCTCAAACGGCCACAGAGAATGACTCCATCAAAGTTGTGTGGCATAAAGTTACACAAGGATTCTGGCCACTGTGTCTCTCTTCTCCACATGATGTATATCTCTTCTCTTATACACATGATGTATAAGGGAAGAGATTTGGTAATAACAAACATTAATTGCATGGAGTATCTTCTCTCTGCTTTAAAGCAAATTGCTAGAAAGGGTTAAAAGCAATTTTAAAGCAGATCACAGGAGAGTTCTTTTAAATAGCACCAACAAACAAACAAACAGAAAGCTACACCACAAACCCCTGTATAAGTAAGGTGTAACTAAAAGTTCTGTAACTGGCAATGTGCAATGAAAGTGTTTTGAAGAGTCTCTCTCTCTCTCTCTCTCTCTCTGGAAGTAATGTTTACTATACCAGCAAACTGTTAAGATAGACTGAAACTAGATGGAGGAACTCAGCAGAACTCAGAATGTTTATTTTTCACAACTTTTGAAGAAATAAAATTTTAATATTTAAACACTTCAGAGCTGAAAAGCAATTAATAAATTGCCTTTCCACAAAGGTAATGTTTCAACATAACAAGTAAATATTACTCATTGCAGCATTAAAAACCCAACAATATTCATGCTTTTTACATTATGTTTAAAAATTAATGACATTAATCTCTTGTTCTGCTCATCCTCTCCCTGCTCCGGGGGCAAAATGTAATGGTTTTTGTAACACAATATGCCCAAGCTCTAGTTGAAAACTTGTGTGAAGAAATACATCAGATTTTTAATTTTATACTGCAATTTCAAATTTTATACTAAAATTACATGAAACTTTAACTTGATACTGATGTTAAGCTGTGTGATAGGTTTCTCTGAAGCAGATATTCCACTGTTGTGGTGCCTATACAGAAAAGACCATACTCTATACAGTGGTGCCTCGCAAGATGAAGTTAATTCGTTCCGCGAAAATTGCTGTCTTATGAAAACATCGTCTTGCAAAATGCGGTTCCCCATTGGAATGCACTGAAATCCATTTAATGCGTTCCAATAGGGGGGGAAATCGTCGTCTTGCGAAAATCGCCCATAGAGAAACCGTTTTGCGAAGCACGAACCCAGCTGTCAAAATCACTGTCTTGTAAAAAACCGTCCTTAAAAAAACCATTTTGTGAAGCGTGGACTTAGCTTTCAAAATCGTCGTCTTGCGAAAAACGGTCCCCCCAAAAAGGTCTTGCGCAGCACGGACTGAAACACTGTCTAGCGAAAAACACCCATAGGGAAAACCGTTTTGTGAAGTGCTATAGCGATCCGCAAAAAAACACTGTCTTGGGAATTAACCGGAAAGTGGGATCTTATTATCACAGACAACAAAGTGCTTAAATGGGACCAAAGGGGCAATGAACAGGAGAACAATTTGAGGAGAAAAACCGATGATTGAAGGGGGTGCTGCAGCTGGAGGCCGAGCTTGGGGAAAGGAAAAAAAATCTGATGATAATGAGTTTAATCTAATAGTTTAAAAGAAAAAAAATTGATAACAGGAAGGAAACAAGAATAAACTCTCTTTCTCTTTTACTCAGAGAAGCAGAATTATGAGGCTCTCAACGTGGCGGTTGAAAGAAACTGAAAGGGGACACCTGGCGCCAAGGTACTCATACGGATGGGGAGGGGCATATTCTATTGTGTTCATTGCTACCGCAGAAGCTCTAGAATCTTCCGATGAGACTCCGCGCAGGCGCGAATCATCCAGGGTGTGATTCACAGAGACCACGAAGAAGAAACTGAAGTACTAGAGACTTGTATGCAACATGCTAACCAATATCATATAATCAATACAGAAAACAGACACAACCGTGGAAATAGTAAAATGCAAGTACAATCTCCAGTTTGCCAATATGTAATTGCTAGAAGTAATTATAGTTTTGTTATGCGATAAACCTAGATCACAGCTTGTAAAGCACTGTAGTGACAGAATGCAATTTACACCAGACAAATGGCCGATCAGACCATTTCAAATTGTTTAGACATTTGTTCTGTTGGCAATCGCCTCCTGTAGCAGATGTTATATTAAGTGTAAGGCAATCCCTGGAATCTTCATAGAGATGCTTGAAAAAATTGACAACATCATGAAGTTTAAAATCTCTTTGTAATATGCTGGAGACTGCGTAAGACAAATGTAAGACATTCTTCCCAGTGTTGTGTATTGGTTCCATATATTTATATCCTGCTTTTCAGAGACAACAAAATGCTTTACACAGAACAAAGGGTTTGGAGCATAAATAGGACCCTCAGAATTACGAAATTTCATCCAGCTTTGGCTCTGTTCATAAACTTGAAGGTTTAAAGTGCAAAGCAAAAAGAAGAGGGATCCATACACAAACCACTTTGCCAGACTTCTTTGGGGCACCTTTCTCCTTCCCATATAAATATATATATCAGCAATGGTCAGTGTTTACATCTGCTCTGATGTATTTCTTCACATCAGCCTGTAATGAGCACCATGGGGTTCAAGTGCTTAGGTCAATGATCTGTGAGAACCTGTTTATCACATGCCTACTTTGCTTAGTTGGATAATGTCACTGCTCTGCCTATGACTCATACTTTTTCATTACGGTCAGCTTTTTTTGAAAACTGACAAGCTAAAGCTACTGGATTACAAATGCATCCAACTCTCACATAACAAAAGTTTAAAGTAATAATTTTTGCACTAATTAATACATATGAGGCCAAATTTCACTCCATAATAAGCTGATACAATGGAATTCTTGGGAATGAATTTGGCTAGTAAGCCATTTTTGTAATGTCAAACATTCTGAGGTAGTAATGAGGGCCAAACTACACATTACACCAGACATGCAACATATAAATAACATCTTAGTTTTACTTTAAGCTGTTACAAGGGTGCCCAGCAGACAAGCATCAAATATGAACCCACCACCAAAAGAACACCCCACCTGCTTCTAGTCCTATTGCAGCTTATAATATCCCTTACCTTGTTTTAAGTATTTCATTGACTTTTTGTTCCAGTTCTATCCTTCTCAGACGTTCTTTTTCTAGCTCTTGTTTCAATGTTTCAGCATTTGTTTCTTCTCTCAGCTTCCTGAGCTCTTCCTCTGTTAATATGGAGAAGGGGAAAAAAGGTTTTACCTTTGGAGTCAAAGGAACTCTATCACAAGAATGTGGAGAAGATCCCAGTGTAGATGCACAAGCCCATTCTGCTGAAGGAAAACAATAAATGACCGAACAGATCACATATTTGAGCAAAGGTCCACCACTGGCTCTGAGAAATCAATATTTAACCCTCAAATTTGTAGTACAATATTGATCTCCATTCAGATCAGGGAGCTTCACACACAAAAAAACACTGAAATACTAAGTAAATGCAGGAGCATATCAGATTTCCACATCAGCTGAATGCTTCTCATTTAGGTATTCCAAATTTCACCTGACCTCTAAAAAAACTGCACCACAAGAGTGTAAAGAAGGTGGAGCAGCATGACACACACAGGAAAACAGCAGTCCTCTGATGCTAGAGTAAACTTTGCACCAGAGTAGCCCAGATCAGGTGTTAGAAACTTAATTAAAACTGACCGATAGCTTTCTGAGCCACCCTCTTTCCATGTTCCAAGGTTACCACGGGGCTCCCTTTCACCCTGGGAAAGGCTTTGGGATGCGTGCATGTGTGTATGTGTATAATAATTTTAAAAATTGCCACTGGACCATCACCACCAGAACTGTGTTGGTTAAAAGAAGACTAAGTCTGTGATGGAACAGATTTGGTGGTATTACAGTTCTGGCCATTAGAAACCAAGCTAAACTCCAGTAAGCAAGAACGGCTTGTACAGTATTTGAATCCATTATCTATTGGGCTGGATAAAGTACAGTCTTCGAGTTCTTCATCCTATGTGACCACAAGTTTAAGATGCTTTCAATCTTATTTTAGTTTAACTGCAGTAAAACATACCATCCAAACTTTAAATGGTGGTTAATCTTAATTACATTAGAGAAAAAGGAGTCAGTTTCATAAACTACCTTATTTCCCTGAAAATAAGACAAGAGTCTTATACAGTGGTGCCTTGACTTAAGAACTTAATCCGTATTGGAATGGTGGCTGTAAGTCAAAGCAACATTTCCCATAGGAATGCACTGAACGGAATTAATCCATTCCGGCTGTTTTTTCTCCTTATGTCAAGGCACAGTTCTTAAGTCAAAGCATTAGTTCCCATAGGAACTAATGCAAAGCCGGTTAATCCATATTCTACCACTAGGGGGAGAAATGTCCACCAACAACCAGCAAGCATTCTTCCAGCACTCCTCATCACAAAAAGAGGGCGGGGGGGGGGAGTAAGAGACCTGAGTCTAAGCTGCATTTTAAAGCCTGCTTGCACCAACAATCAGCAAGCATTCTTCCAGCACAGAACTCCTCATCACAAAAAGAGAGCATAGAGAGACGGGGGGGGGTAGAGACTTTAGTCTAAGCTGTATTTTAGACCTGCAGCAGCCCAATAAATCTTTGGAACACCATTTCCTATTTTAAATGCAGACGAGCAAAATGCATTTTAGACCTCCATCAGCCAGCTCAGACCCTTACAAAAATCCCCCCCCCCCAAGCTGCGAAAACCCTGTATGTAGAGTAAATATGTACAGTAAGTATATAAAACACTGCAAGTCCCAAGCTGGGACTGCAAAAACAAACAAAAACAAAAAACAAACAAATCAAAAAATTAACATTGGAGCAAGTCACCCGTGGGACTACCCAAAAAAAAAAAAAAACCCACCAAAAAACAAAACAACACAGAAACGTAACCCCTCTCAGCCCAAACCTACCGTCCAAAACCCACCCAGAACAACTTTTTTAAGGACAAAGGAGCACCTTAGCAGTCCGAAGCCTCTGCAGAGGCTTACCTGGCTTCCAAAGCACCAGCACCCGACAGCTTCTCCTTCCTCCTCCTGCGCCACCACAGAGACCCTCCAATTCGACTCGTGCCTTCAGCAGCGCTTACTCACTAGTAGACCCGCACCGCCTTGCCTCTCCTTCCTCCTCCTGCGCCACCACAGAGGCCCTCCGACTCGACTCGTGCCTTTGGCAGCACTTACTCACGAGTAGACCCACGCCGCCCTGCCTCTCCTTCCTCCTCCTGCGCCCCAGGAGTAAAAAAGTTCCCTAACCGCCTGCTTTTTTTAAAAAAGAAGTCTTGGTGTCAGTGTTGGTACAAAGTTGTGCTAGGGCACACAATGGGGGGTGTGTGTGTGTGACAGAAGACATTGCTTATATGCACGTCTTTGCAGCTTGTTACCGTAACTGTGTTGTAGTCATGCCTCCTACAAATCTGGACAGATACAGCACAAACTGCCTTAACCAGCTGCAAACAAGGGCTGACTAGCAATTTTCTCTCTTCTCTCTCTTGACTCCTGTCTAGATGGCTAAACTTAATTCACCTAGAGAAACCAGAATTCCTTGGTGCAAATTCAGTGTGTCAGTGTGCTTTTTTTCCATCCTAAATCCACCAAGTGCAGTATTTCATGTGAACTTCATTAATACATCTTGCAATTCTTGCATCATTTTATTATCATTGTAAGCAAAAGTGAACCTGTAAGTGTAACTGAATCAGGACCTTGTTGTTGTTTTTTGCTTCAAGTAGCATTATTATAAAAGTAATGGCCAGTGGTCCTGATGTGCCCCATCTCTGAGTATACAGTAGGCAAGTGTTCCCTCTATGATTCAGTAGCTGAAAATAGTATGTGACATTCCAAATGACCAGAAGAAGCAGAAAGACAGTGGTATGTGTGATCTGGTGTCATCACCTACAATACTTAAGACTTTTATATGTTAGTATCACAAACCTTTACATTAAGTGTCACATAAATCTAGCTTAAGGGACATGGTGGCGCTGTGGGTTAAACCGCAGAAGCCTCTGTGCTGCAAGGTCAGAATACCGGTCATCGTAAGATCGAATCCACGCAATGGAGTGAGCTCCCGTCGCTTGTCCCAGCTCCTGTCAACCTAGCAGCATGCAAATGCAAGTAGATAAATAGGTACCACCATGGTGGGAAGGTAATGGCATTCCATGTCTAGTCGCGCTGGCTGTGTGACCACGGAAACTGTCTTCAAACGCTAGCTCTATGGCTTGGAAACGGAGATGAGCACCGCACCCTAGAGTCGGACACGACTGGACTAAATGTCAAGGGGAACCGTTACCTTTTACCTAAATCTAGCTTCAACATAAGTTTCAGCAATAATATGCACTTTGAGTAGACTCTGACACATGCACACACATACACACAAAAAGCACTAGCAAGATACCAGCCGTAAAGATCATGTTTATAGAACATAGCATGGAATTTGTGTGTAACGCCCTTTTAAGCTAGCAAGTGGCAACATATCAAGACGTGCCTGAATGAAGGCTTTTCTATAGCCAAAGCTCACTAAATCGGCAAAATAAGAAGGAAGTTTGAAAGACGGAGATGAAATAATCTTATAAAATGGGGCCGTTTTTAGAGTGCCTAGCAAACCTATATTTGTTTGGTAACAGAGATCAAATAATCTCTGCTTTAATGAGCTTTTTGCTGCATTCAGGCTGCTAATTGGGGCTGGCTACAGGAACATATAACACTTATGTTACAGAAGCTTCACTGGCTGCTGGTCCATTTCCAGGTCCAATTCAAAGCACTGGTTAGGCTCTATAAAGCCTTATAAAAGCACTGGTTAGGCTCTATAAAGCCTTACACTCAGGTTTGGCTCCAGGCTATCTGAAGGACTGTTTCTCCCTATATGAGCCTTCTCCGCTCCAAAGATCTTCAAGGGAGGCCCTTCTCAGTCTCACCACCCTCCCAGGAACACAAGAGAGGGTATTCTCTATGTTTTAGTGCTTTTAATTGAATAATTTATTCTATTTTAAACTTTATTTTAATTATTGGGAGCTGTCTTTAGTCTCTTTATGGGTGAAGGGCAGCATACACACAATATAATTAAAAAAATAAGTATAAACACTTCCCAGCATTCCTTCTTCAATCTATTTAAAAAAAACACCTGCCTCTACAACATAATGAAGAAAGCTTTTGATGCCAGCAGGGCACCAGAATAATTACCTTAAAACCAGTGCATCATACCTTGGTAGGATGACTCCACATTAGCCTGTATTTCTATTTGTCATTTCATTTCCCACCCAAATTCATAAGCCTAGTGACTGTACAAACAATTCTTAAAGGTCATTAAAATAAAGTGAAGATTAAAACATACAGAGACAGACAATGAGCTCTTTCATTAAATCAAGCACAAGCAATGTGTTATATCAGTCTACTGACATATAGTTTGCTACACACTGAAGATGGCAAAAAATGGTGCATTGTTAGTAAACCACATGAGTGCCCACTTGCTTCCTGAAAATAAAAATTCTGTGCCTAGCTTCCAAAAGAGCCAGCACATTTATTGCAGCATGATGTTCCTGTTAGCAAAAGCTTGTCCACCAGAAAAATCCAGACCCTCTGAAGTATGTGGTACACAAGAATATAGTATATACCAATATTGCAGCATGATGTTCCTGTTAGCAAAAGTTTCTCCACAAGAAAAATCCAGACCCTCTGAATTATGTGGTACACAAGAATACAGTATACAGTGGTGCCTCGCTTAACGAGTGCACCGTATAACGACGAAATCGCATAGCGATCCGGTTTTTTGGATCGCTAATGCGATCGCTCAACGTCGTTTAGATAGGGCGAAAATCGCTTTACGAAGATCGGTAAGCGTTTCGCTTACCGATCTTCACAAAACGAAGCCCCGACGATCAGCTGTTCGAGGGCGCGAAAATGGCTGCCGGCCATAGGAAACCTCGCTGAACGGTGAGTAAAGGAGCCTTTTGGAACGCATTAAACGATGTTTAATGCGTTCCAATGGCTTTCCCTGTCCCGTTCAGCGATGTTTCGCTAGAGCGAAGGTTAATCCGGAACGGATTAACCTCGCTATGCGAGGCACCACTGTACTGTATTTGCATTTCATGTTCTGGAGATAACAAGGACATGCCACTAAATCATGTCTTCTGAACACCATCCATACAGCACTAGGCCTTAATGAAAAGCTACCATGCATCTTTGACTGGAGCAAGCTGGCTCTTCT